CTTCCTGCAAACCAGACACCCGGGGGGACGTCTGTGAAGTGGGGAGTGGCCTGAGCTCATGAGAAACCGGGGCCCACAGCTGGGAGTTCAGGCCCTAGTCGGCGGCCCCATCTCCGTGCCGCAGTGTCCCTGCCTGTGCCAGGGGAGGACAGCCATGCCCTCTGCGCGGTGGGTCAGGCGGCATCTGTGGGAGAACCGACCTCACTGAAGAGAGAACGCGGGAGGCCCTCGCTCAGGAGGCCCTTGGGGAAGGGCAGCTGCTCAGGAAGGAGGGAGGCCAGAGGGTCCCCTCGGTGCAGGAAGCCAGCCCAGCGTCCCGGGCCAGAGGGGAGGAGACGAGGTGGGGGGCGTGGAGCTGGGCTCCCTTCCAAGGAGCCCTGTGCAGATGCCCTCAAGGACAGGGCTGACCAGCCCACAGGCCCGGATGTTGTCCTGGGGCTGCTCTGGAGGGGCCGCCGGCTCGCCTATCTCAGGGCCTTGAACTTTCTATTCTGTTCTGCAGTCAGTTCAGAAGGCGGCATTTCTAGATTCCCTTCTTATCACAGAGAAACTTCTAGCACAACAATGGCTGATTGTACGGCTCTCCGGGGTGCGGCTGCATTCCTGGACACCCCCACCTTTTTTTGTGGTATCTTTGGAACTATAATGGACCCCATTGTGATTGTCTGTTCAGGGGACAGTGTGGCCCTTGAATTTAGAAGCATGGAAGGGTAGTGGGGGCTGGGGAGAGGGCAGCAAAGGAGGGCCAGGGTGGGGGGCCCAGGGACAGCCCACAGGACAGCCGCTCAGCTGTGCGTAACTCACCTGGAGGCAGCACCCCCGGACCGGCTGCCTTTGAAAATACGTAGTTGTGTGTCAAACCACCAATGTTTGTTTTTCTTCGGTTATTAAGAAATGAAATTGGTAGATAATTTTCACCCCCTGCTCGTGCCTGGCCGGTAGGACTCGGCACAGACTCATCTGAGTGCGGAGCAGCAGCAGACCGTCGGACCCGGCCCTTGGGAGGCCGCCTGCTGCTGTGTGGAGCCAGCGTCCAGCACCTGGGGCAGAAGGACCAGAGCCAGGACAGCCCCAGCCCCTAGGAGGCATGGCTCTGTGGCCCTGGGCACACTGGCTGTCCAAGGTGCAAGGCCTGTGAGGGTGTCAGATGGGGACCCCAACCTGCTGGCGGAACCCCAGCCCACCCGTGGGTGCCGGCCACCAGCAGGAGGCCCTATGCTAGGCCTCAGGATCCTGCCTCTGTCCCAACAGCCTGGACCCCAGGAGAACGCCGCTCTGGGCACCACCTGCCACCACGGTCCCCTCAGCCCCTGGGGACTTCCTGCCCCACTCGGACTCCTGAGAAAACCCTGGGAGGGATTTCTTAGAATGTTCGGCAGTTGCTGCCCAGCCCAGGACTTGGCAGGAGCCCCAGTGTCCGGAAGAGGGAGCAGATCAAGTTCCGAGGCTGGGGAGCCAGGCGTGCTGGCAGGGAGGCCTCAGGCCAGCGTGGTGTCTGCCGGGTGCGGATGCTGGGGCTGCCACTTGGTGGGGAATGTCCGGTGGGCCTCATGCCACCCTGCCCCTTGGTGCCCCCGTCTGTAAAGTGGCACCTCCCAGGCCCAGCCGTTTCTTCCCTGGCTGGCCAGGTTCAGTGGGAGCAGGTTTTGCTGGCATATAGCGCCAGGCCTAATACAGAGAGATGGCTCACAAACGGTGGTCACTGTCGTAAAAAGACACAAACACGCTTAGAGAAACACGTTTACTGTCTCCTGGGCGCTATCACCGACTGTCCGTTCAGTCTTCCCGGCACCATCCCAGCCCGGAGAAGGGAAGGAGCCTGGTCAAGGTCAGCTTGGCCAGCTGTCCGGCCAGTGTCCTGGCAGGGGCCGAACCCAGCCGTGTGGCTGACTCAGGGGCCAGGTGCCATGGAAGCTCACCTGTCTGAGGCTTTTTTTCTGCTCTGAGGCCCCTTCTTATCAGGGGGCAGGGGCTCCCCAAGGCCGACAGGACAGAACAAGGACATCAGAAAAGCCCCCTGCCCCAGTATCATCTTCCCAGGTGGGAGGGGTCTCTGAGGGATTAGGCTTTTGGTGGGCTCAGACTTGGAGAGCGAGAGGGGCAGCCGGGGAGGGGCCCACGTTGGGGACATTCAGAGGCCACTGGGCAGGGGTCTGGGAAACAGGGGACAAGTCTTGCTCTTTCAGTGGCAGGCCACCTTGTGCCTTCAGTGGCAGAGCAGGCCACCTTGTACCCCACGGAGGCCCCGCTGGACTCGCTCTGAGACAGAACTCCCTGTCACTGTCCCATGTAAGAGGGCCTGGAGGGGCGCTGCAGAGCAGGTGCTGGGTCCACCAGCTGCCCTCCGAGGCCCTGCAGAAAGGCCCGGGGTTCGGAGAGCTCAGCTCAGACCTTGGGAGATGGGGAGCTCAGGCCAAGGGCCGAGGAAGCACCCAGGGCCCCAGGAGATGCTGGCAATACGTGCATGAGCATGTCTCGTCCTGGCTCCTAGGACAGCCAAGAGCCCCTGTCCCCATGGTGTTGTGGACAGAGCCCGTGAGCCACCAGGCAGCGCCATGCATGACAAGGCTGTGGCCAGCCAGGAGCAGCCTGTGCCCCAGACACCAAACGGGCCATGGTGTTTGAGAGGTGGAGCTTCAGAGCAGGTGGGGACAGCCAGGAAGGCTTCCTGGGAGAGGTGACGGACATTCCTGCTGGGCGGAGGATGTTTCCGTGTCTCCCCTGTTAGCACAAAGAGATGGCCTGTGGGGACACCCGGAGCTGCGCGGTCACCCAGACACTTGCCAAGCAGGTAGCAGAAAAACCCAAGCTGTTTTTTTTTTTTTTTTAATAATAATGTTTTGTTTTTGTTTTTGTTTTTGTTTTGAGCCAGAGTCTCTGTCACCCAGGCTGGAGTATAATATCGCCATCTTGGCTCACTGCAACCTCTGCCTCCCAGATTCAAGCGATTCTCCTGCCTCAGCCTCCTCAGTAGCTCGGACTACAGGCATGCCATCACCACACCTGGCTAATTTCTTTTTCTTTTCTTTTCTTTTCTTTTTTTTTTTTTTGTATTTTTAGTAGAGATGGGTTTCACCATGTTGATCAGGCTGGTCTCGAACTCGTGACCCCAGGTGATCCACCTGTCTCATCCTACCAAAGTGCTGGGATAACAGGTGTGAGCCATCGTGCCCAGCCTCAAAGAATGTATTGGAGGGAAGTTCACGTAACATAAAATTAACCAGATTGAAGCGTACCGTTTGGCACTAATGACAGGCGTTTGGTATATGTACCATGTGACATTTGGTATATGTACCATGTGGCGCAGCAATCATCTGTATTCGCAGAATGTTCTGGTCACCCCAGGAGGAAACACTGCATGCATTCAGCAGTTCCTCTTCACCCCCCAGCCCCAGGCAACACTGATCTGTGTTCTGTGTCTATGGATTTGCCCATTCTGGGTATTTCATATCCTAAGGTAAGTTTTAAAAAGAGGATTAAAGGACCAGGTGCAGTGGCTCACGCCTGTAACCCCAACACTTTGGGAGGCTGAGGAGGCCGGATCACCTGAGGTCAAGAGATTAAGACCATCCTGACCAACATGGTGAAACCCCATCTCTACTAAAAATACAAAAACTTAGCTGGGTGTGGTGGCGCATGCCTGCAGTCCCAGCTACTCCGGAGGCTGAGACGCGAGAATGGCTGGAACCCGAGAGGCGGAGGTTGCAGCGAGCTGAGATCGCCCCACTGCACTCCAGCCTGGGCGACACAACGAGACTCTGTCTCAGAAGAAAATAAATAAAAATAAAATAAAATAAAATGAGGATTACAGGAGCCAAAGCAGGCGAGGGGTTCCAGTCCCCACCGCACGCTTCCAGCTGTGTGGCTTGTGCACCGCACTGCGTCTCCCGTCTCAGTTTCCACATCTGTAAAATGGGCGTAAGAATGTCCACGGTAGGGTCACCATGGGGACACGGGGCTCAGCCAGGCAGAGCACTGAGCGCCGTGTCCCAAGGCCATGATGCACTGTAGCCATTGTTGACACGGGTGCTAGGTGTCAGGATGGTATGGGGCATGGACAGCTAGGGTCCTGGGAAATCAAAGCCTGGAAGGGCAGACCTGACTCTCCACCATGCCCAGCTCATGCCTGGAACCTGCAACAGGCCGCAGAATCCTTCCACGTCTACATCTGCCCCTTCCTACTCCTTGACGTTGGGCTTCAGTTTCCCCATCTGCAAAACGGCGACGTAGACCTCACCATACTGAAGGATCGGAGCCGGCATCGTGGCGGACAGAGGGGAGGGGGATGCGCAGGGGGGTGTAGGGCTGCGGTGGGGACTAGGGTGGGCTTGGGGGCAGATTCCTGGAAGGCGTAACAGCTGGCCGAAGCCCAGGCCACAGTGATGGGGAGGTGAGGGGCAGAGGGGTGGGCCTGAGCGCAGGCAGGCAGCCCCTGCTCTGCTTTTAAGCAAGTGGCTGGAGGCGTCCTGAGCCGTCTCCCCTGGCAGGCAGGTGATCCATCAGCTCGGCTGTTACTGTCCGGAGCCGGCGAGGGCCCGTCAATACGCCCGCCCTCACCCCCCCAAGTCACCCAGGTTTTATGTTGTAAGAACACCATGGGGCGTCTCAAACACACCACTAATGACAGGCATCATGAAACAATAAAAGTGATGGGGCTGGTGGGGGGGGCTGGCGGGAAGGGCGGGGGCTGCCGGTGCCCAGCTCCCCTGGCGGCGGCAGGAGCTCTCCGAGAATTGATTAGTCTTGGACGTGCTGACCTTTTTGTTCTTGAAAAATTGCTTTTGAGCAGCTGAGGCAATAAAAGTGAATTGATTCAGAGAGAACGAGGATGAAATTTGCGTTGGGCAGGAGCAATGCATAAATGCCCGTGACGTCAGCACTGCCTCCCCCAGCCCCAGTTCCTGGGCTACAGGAGGGCCAGCCCCAGAGAAGCTGGGCAGGGCTGGCGGCTCGGGCAGGGCTGGCGGGGCCGTGGGGCAGGCAGGCGGGCCTCCTTGGAGGTTTCAGCCGAGAATTGAAACCGATAGCGAAAAGGGGAGGGCAGAGGGACGGAGATGAAATGAAACGAAGCAAGAGCATAGGGAGAGGAAGAAGCTGAAGAAAAAAACACCCCGCAAAAGAAGCAAGGGGGAATGTAGGCTAGACCTCGGGCCGCTTAAAAGGGAGGGCTGGAGGGGACCTGGGGAAGGAGCGAGAATCACATGAGCACTCACGGGCACCACAGCCACGCTCAACCTCACCAAGCCTGGTTTGTTCCCATTTCACAGAGTGAGAAATCCGAGGCCCAGAGACATCAAGAAACCTGCTCAAGGTCACACAGCTGGGATGTGGTCAAGCCCCACTGAGCCCCTCTGAAGCCAGGTGGGGGCCTCCGGTGAGTGGGGGAAGCCTGGAGGGGGCGCTGCAGAGCAGGTGCAGGGTCCACCATACGCCCTCGGAGCCCCTGCAGAAAGGCCAAGGGTTCTGAGAGGTCAACCCAGACCGTGGGAGGTGGGGATCTCAGTACCCGTTGGCATTGAGAGGGCACGGGGTAGGGGGATGTCCCCTGGCTTCCAGGTAAGAAGCCACAGAGAAGCATCACAGCTAAGGTTTCTGGGTATGGAACGGTGGCACTGGGACTCAGGCACCTGGGCTGACTGTCACCGCTCCTATGCGTCCCTTCTCAGCACCTAAGCCTGTTTCCTCACCAGCCCTTGGGAAACCACAGAAGCCCAGGTGTGTAAAAGTTCACCTGTGTTTGCAGGTGCTGAGGGCGGGCTGCTGGACTGGAGCCTGCCCCAGGCCCAGGAGAGAGGCCGAGCCACGTTTTCCCCCTGCAGCTGCCAAAGGCCCCCTTCCACCAGGATCCTGGCACAGGCTGCTTGTCCAGGCTTACCGGCTTCATGCCTGGGTTTGGTGCTGGTGGGGTTAAGGTGGGGACGGCGGTAACTTTTTGGTTGGAATGCATGGCGTGAGTGGTGATTAAACCCCAAATCAGGCTGGTGTCACAGGTGGTAATGTCTCCCTGAAATGCAGGCACTCCGTGGGGAACCCCTGATCACAGTGACTGCCAGCAGTTCCTTGCCTGGGCTCTGTGGGCAATCAGCTCCCAGGGTCCAGGAAGAGGCACGTCAAGCAGCTGCCCTCAGCCCCCAGCTGACCCCGGAGGGACCAGGCCAGAGCTGGATGGCACCGTGAGCATCCCAGATCCCACAGCCTGCAGTGGCCCCACCACCCACCGCCCACGGGCACTGAGCTTTGCCGAGGCCAACCTAGCCTCTGATCTGCGCCTTACCAGGCGCCTCACACCAGCAGGCCCTCGCCTCTTGCCCAGTCCCCCGAGAAGTCTGGGGAGGCCTTGCTGCCTCTATCGTCCCAGAAGAGAAGGAGCTTGCCAGGATCCCAGGGAGCAGCCTGGGTCTCCTGCCTTCCTGGGTGGTAGCACATGGCTGCCCAGGTGCCCTGGTGCCAGAGAGCCATTCCAGCAAGGACTGGCTCTCGGGCACCAGGGCTGGCCCTGGGGTGGGCGAGCGCTTTCCCTTTGCCGTCTGCACCTCGTCCCCTGTCCACCACAGGAGGGGCTGCACCTGAGGGGGGCACCCGTCCCCCTCGGGGCTTCCCAGGGCATGGGGGCCTGAGGTGCAGGTTACCTAGCAACCACACTGTTGCCAGTGGAGATTACAGCACAAAAGCCTCCAGGGTGTCCCCAACCCACACAGCCTCACGGGGCAGGGGTGGTGAGGAGGGTGGGCTTGGGCCCGGCGCTGTGCTGGAAGGCTCTCTCTCCCACCCCACCCACCCCCACAAATCCCCTTACACCTGCCCGTGCCCCTCGGACCCTTGATGGTCTTCACGCGTCCTTTCTACGCCAGGGGCCAGGGAGGGCGGCAGGACAACCCCCAGGGTCCTCCTGCCTCCGTGACCTTCCCCACCCACCGAGGTCTGAGCAAGACTTGCTGGAGCCAGCCCAGGAGAGAAGGCTGTGTGACTGCCACCAGCCCAGCTCAGCTCCAGCCTTCCTGGCTGTTTGCCTGCAAGGGCCCCCGGAGGATGGAAAGGGACATATTTCAAGGGAGAAAGGACATTTCCTTCAAGCTGAGTGGTCCGTAACTTACCTGAGGTTTTATTGCTAGGGCAGGCAGAGCTGGACTTGGGTCCCAGGCTGTGTGACGCCCAGTGAGAGCTGCTCCTCCCTCTGCTCACTTGCTGACCAGCTTGCTGGGTGGCTCCAGGCAAGTTCTCTCCCTCTCTGGCTGCTCACTCCCAGCTGTAGAGAGAGGTGGCTCCTGGATCACGGAGCAGTGCCTGCCTCGGGTACAGGCCTGGGCTGGGCACAGGGCCGAGAAGCTGCCTCTCTGCCCCGCCTCTGGGAGAGGTCCTGGCACTGTCAGCCCATGAATAAGGCCTGGCAAGGCGCCGCCGAGGGTGTGCAGAGGTCAGCTGCGAGGGCCGTGTGGCAGTGTTCTGAGACTGGCTGCCAGGAGCAGCTGGACCTGTTCGCCTGGGCTGGGCTGTCTCACTTCCCCTGGAGCAGAGAGGCAGCTGCGGAGGAAGAACAGGTGGGGCCAGCCTGTCAGGGGCCCTTTAACTCCAGGATGGCCACCTCCTGCCACAGGGGACCCAGCCAGCAGCGGCCAGAGGCCTGGGAGCCACGTGCTGGAGCTGAGGACAGGGAATGTCAGGAGACCAGCTTGAACCCCTAACTCCTTTCCCTGCGGGCCGGGCCTGGTGGGCTGTCCTGTGTGACAGGGGGCTCCCAGCTTGTGGCCTGCAGCCACAGGCACCACATCAAGATCCCTGCTTGGGCTTTCAGCACAACCCACAACCCCGGTGCCCGCAAACGCTGTGTGAAAGTGAACCAACTAACCAGATGGCTCCTTCATCTGAGGTTCGATCAGCAACACAGTCATCTCGCTCCTGTTGTGACAGAATGCAAATTCCTCTGACAGCATTGCGGGGTTGGGAGTCAGGATTGCCTTTAGCAGATACCAAAAGTGCCACTGTTATCTCAAGCAGGTGTGTGACTTACTCTGACCTGAAAAGAGACCTCCCACCTTCTGGGAAGTCGGCCCCTCTGATCCAGCTCCTGTACCCACCACCACCCACATTTGCCTCTCCCCCTGGCACCCAGGACTGTGGCAAAGGGAAGCCCTCCGGTAGGGACAGCCCCACTTGTCCTGGTGGAGGCCATGGGTCATCCCCTCACCACGTGGCCTTACTGGGCTGGGCCCTGGTGCATGGCTTGGGAAAGGAGGGGCTGCTCAGGACCTGAGAGGACACAAGCCGACCGCAGCATAAGGATGGGAAGGAAGGCGGGAGTCCACGCTGTGGCACAGGCCAGGGAGGGCAGGTGTCAGGAGGGGGACGTGGAGGCTTGGCCTACGCTGAAGGAGGGGTAGGGGTGGGCATTTGGCGGGACCATGCTGCAGTGGGAAGGTCTGGCCAGAGCACGCAGGCAGATGCAGTCACAGGGGGGCCAGCGAGGCCGCCAGCTTCTCCAGCCTCATCCGGTGCTCAGTAGTGGGGTGCACTGCAGGCGCCTGCCTTCCTCTGTCCCCCACACACCACCACATCCATGGACCACTGGGGCCTGGATGCAGGGGGCATCTACACCTCACGAGCCAGCTTGGACACAACCGAACTAGAACAATGAAATGCCAGATTCACTGTGCTGTGTCTTCCCCTGAGGAGGTGATTCGGTGTGTGGATGGCTCCTTGCCTCTGTGTCTGTGCAGGGTGGGTGTGTTTGTATGTCCACCATCCACAGGCAGGTGCTCGGTGTGTATGCACACACACACACACACACACACGACAGCATTTGGGTTAATGCCTTGCCAGGGTCTCTTGGTGACATACTAAGCACTTTGCAAGGGCAGGGACTTTCCAGGGACCCTGAGCAACGTCCAGTGGAGAGGCTGTCATCTCTGCCCTGCGGCCAGAACTGGTACCTCTCCACCCTTGCGCACAGGAGGGAAATGGGCACACACTCCCCAAGGCCCCACACTTCCCACAAAAACACCCCTCTTCCCGCAGAGTCCTGGGGCGCCAGCATTTTGGGTCAGTCCACAGTGGCTTTAGCGCTTCGCCATGGCTGAGAATATTTTGGGAACTGCCTTTTAGAATCAGTTGACAAGACACCCGGACACTGCTGTCCCGGTACTTTGCAGCTTTATCCAGGTTCACCGTGGTTCTCTCTGGATCGGGCAATCAGTCCTCCTTCCGAGAGGATGGCTCACCTTTTCGACCCCAACTGGATGGCTCCTTCCAACCATCTTCTCCGTCATGGGAGAATGATGGCTTCCTACCAGAAAGGCCACCCTGGTCACATTTGCTGGGATCCGGAGTTCCTGATGTGACCCGGTGTCGGCGGGGATACGGCTCTGTATGGGAAGGCCAAGCCTGATGGAGGGGCCACAGCCCTGAGGTGTGTGTCACCTGATGTTTGTGGAGCCCCTACAGCCCATGCTGGCAGTGCTGGGGACGCCTTGTGGGAAAGGAGATAAGGCCCTGTTCTCGGGGAAGAGCTCGTGATGGTGTTCTTCTTGGGGGACACTGAGGCCGGGGAAGGGAACACAAATTCTGTCCCTCCCTTTATGACCCCTCCTTCAGGCCTTACGGCGGGGACACCTCCAAAGCAGAGCCATGCCCAAAACAAAATACCCAAAAAGGAGGCATGAGTATGCATAGCTCACCATTTAATCTGGGGCTTCCAAAATATCAAGGTCCCGAGAGACCTTTGTGTGCTTCCATTGACTTGAAATGTCCAGAATGGGCCGGTGCCTAGAGATAGAGTTAGGAAGCAGATGTGTGGCTTGCCCAGGGGCGGTGGCAGGAGGGGAACGGGCGGCAGTGCTCATGGGCACGGGTTTCCTTTGACTAGAGATGAAAATGTTGCAGAATTAGATTACAGTGATGGTTGCACAACTAGAAATGTACTAAAAACTATTTAACTGTATACTTTCAATGGGAGAATTTACGGTATGTTAATTATATGCCAATAAAGCTGTTAAATTCTTGAAGTCTCATGGGGAAATGCTCCTGAAGCTACTCATCGGTATGTACATTCTGATTTCATTGTTTAAAAAAAAATATGTGCTCACGTACAGAAGAAAGGCTAGAAGGAAATACACCGAACATCAATAGTGGCTTTGTCTGGGTAAAGGAACCAAGGAAATGTTTTATTCTGCATGGGCAAACAGCCAGGGGACAGGATCCATCTAAAGTTGGGGTGATGCTGCGGTCCCACAGCCTCACCCTTGTCCCAGACCCTCCCTGCCCAAGGTGACCTGTGACTCAGCTGCAGCGGCATCCAGCGGCCAGGGTCAGCCCCTCCCAGGGGAGGGAATGCTGAGGGCCTGCAGGGCGGGCAGGTGAGGCCTGCGGGCCCCTCTGGCTGTGAGCACCAGCGGCTCCTCAAAGCAAGCAGGCAGGAGCCCCGGTAATTACCCTGCAGGCAGGCGGGTGGGCCGCACCGCTCCCTCATTCCCGAGGAGAGGTCACCCCTGGCCTGCCCCAGCGGCATCGTCCAGCAGCGCAGTCGCCGGGCTGTGCTTGACCCTCCAGGAGGGGCCGGGCAGTGGAGCTGGCCCAGGAGGGAGGCGGGCAGGGGGCCTGGGGCCGGGGGCCTGGCCTGACTCTCGCTCTGAGCCCCCAACAAAACCGCAGCCCCAGAGCCATGCTGTTGCCTGTCTTGCACCCTCTGGTTTGCCCTCACCTGGCTTTCCACCTCCACCACCAGCTATACCCAGAGCCCTCCAAAGGGCTTCGAGGCCCTCCTCCACCTGCCCCTCAGTCCCGGGTCCCCAGCCCCACCTCCTCCTCCTGCCTGGCTCCCTCTGCTCCCTCACTGGCTGTCCTTCCTGCTGCTCCGCACACCCCCCCAGTCAGCTTCCACATGTGGCTTCGTGCTCTGCCCTCTCCCTGACACTCGGGTCCTCCAGACATGCTCCAGACACCACCCTGCCCAGCTTTTCCCCAAGGTCGCTTGCACTACAGCCTCCTCTGACCATCCACCCAAGCAGGCACACACACACACACACACGTACACACACATGCAGGCCTGCTCTCCCAGCCCCTCCCTGTGCTGCCCTCCCCCCAGCTCCACCCTGTCCACCGTGTTTTGCCACCTGGTCATTTTGCTGGCCGCCCAGCTCCACTGTTAGAACAGAAGCAGCCCGGAACGGGGGGAGAGCTGCCTCCTCGTTCCCAGTTGTGCCCCAGAGCTTTGCAAAGGAGCTGACTCAATAAATAAATGGTGGATGAATGAATGAATGAAGGAAGGAGGCAGGGCAGGCAGTGGTCCCGCCTGCCCCTCCAGGCTGGTGCGCACAGCCTTGTAAGGGACGTGCCTGGGGACTGGGGTCATCGCTGCAGGCACCGCCTGAGTCACTTGGTTATTCCTGGCCACACAGGACATCCGAGGCTGGAGTGGTGCTGAGCGAGGGGGGCCTGAGAGCGGGGTGGCTGCCTGACCTCACAGGGGCTTGGGGGCTTGGAGAGGCCATTGCGGGTGAGTTCAGCCCTGGTGGGAACAAAGAAGGAGTATCCAGGGCCCAGGTGGCAGCTTTTCAGAAGGCAGGTGGGGTGGACCAGGGGTCTGGGGTCAGGTCTCCTGGACACAGTGTTTGGGGACAGGAGGCCGAAGTCAGCCTGGCT